ACTGAGATCTTCATGGCTGGATATAAAACTAAAGTGGTAAATGAACCAGTGACACTTGTGTTTCTTATAGATTTTGTTTAATGTCTCCTGATGCGCATAATTTGGTTCATAGGGATTCATTAAAGTTTTATCCTTCTGCTGATATCCTTTTTCATTATTATTTGATATTCTTTGCCTCATTTAATAATTTTTTGCATTAAGGTTAAACTTGTCAGACAATAACATTGTTATTCTAGTTTTATTTTTCTTTTCCTTTGTGTCTGTGTCCATTCTTTTATTTTCAATTTCTCTGAACTCCTTTGTTTTGGTTGTGACTCTTATCATAAAGCATATGGTTTTGTCTTGACTCAATTTGAAAGATGTTGTTTTAATAAGTGAAATTATTTACATGTATTGAGATTATAGACATGATTCATCATAATAGTTTTGTTGATGTTTGTTGATGACATTTGTATTTATGTTGTTTTAAACTGCCTTGCTGTTCTATTTGGTTTCTTCCTTTTTGCAATGTAGCCTATGATTTCTTTTCTTTTTCTTTTCTGCCCTCATGTTAATTTGCAGGTTCAGGATCTATTTCTAGTTGCTCTAGTGATTGCCTTTATAACTTTAAATAAAATATATTTATGCCTCTGTTTCTTGGTTATGGTCTTGATTTATTGACTCCAAATCTTGAGGCATTTGACTCATCTCTTGTCCCTCCCCTATGCCCACCCATGAGAGCCCTTGAGATTTGTGCCTCATTCCATTGTCATTAAATGACCAATTTATATGGTGTGACTTGTCTATGGCATTAGAGTTTTTTAACCTTCCTACAGTTGTTTAGGTTTGTTTCTATATTTAAATATTTCAATGTTTTCCATCAGTCTTTCATATCTGGGTTCTTCATTTTGATTCACCATTTGGTTAGAGTTTTTACTATACAGTTTTCTTTAAAAAGCATATCGTTGCTAGATTCCCTGAGTCCTTGCTTATTTCAGAATGTTTTCCTCTGGTTTTTATTCAGCAGGTACAAAATCTTTGGGTCACATTTTTTTGTCCTCATAACTCTGTAGTCATTGTTCCACTTTGATACTGAAAGTTGCTATGAAGAAATCTAAAAGCATTGTAGTTTTCCATTGGGAGGTGTATTTCCTTCCGGCAAATGGCCATAGGATTATATTTTAAATCTTCAGATAACTTCACCATGATATCACTTGGGGTTATAATTCTGAATCAATTTTTCTTGCAACATGGCCTACCCTTTTGAATTGTAGATACAGTTCTTCCTTTATTTCAGGGAAGTTGCTCTTAGTATATTGCTGAGTGGTACATTCCATTTATGCTATTTTTTTTTGTCATGAAGAGGGATCCATTTGTTGGATCTCCATTGTCTGTTTTTTCATTAGCTTTTCTTTTTCTCAGTCCATTTATCAGATTCAGTTTTCTACCTCATCAATTATGCTTCTTTCTCTCTCTAATACATGCATTACTTCCACAATAGCATTGGATAATTCTCAGCTTATTTTATTTACTCTTAATGCTATTTTTTAACTTGTAATATTGTTTTATACACTTTGATTCCTTATTTCAAAGTTTAAATATTTTGTTTAGATTTTTGGGCAGCACATAGCACTTCTAAACAAAAATATTTCTCTATTTCCCATGGTATATCTTTCTCCAGATTAGATTTTTTTTTACCATTAGCCTATCATACCTCTTTTGTCATTTCTTTCTTTGAATATTTTTAATAGCTGCTAACTCATTTCATTTGGGATTACTATTATTTAATGAGTACAGATCTATACAGACTTTCTTTTGGGCTGGATACTGCACTTATCAATACTCAGTGGCTCTCTGTGCCCCCTCATCTGGGCCCTATTTGTAGACTCCCTTTGATTTAAAATTTATATGTTAAGTTTTTCTCTTCTAGACTCTGAATTTCTGTCATCTAAGGGAAATAGCAAGCTGGCTGGAGGCTAAATCAGCTATGATTACTGGACTGGCTGGTTCTGCTTTCTTCTTCAATAATGATGTTCTATCTAAGTCTCCCCACTTGCCTTCCCTCTCCTAGTCAGAAATTTATCCTTTTCCTATGGAACATAGTCATGAATTTTAGATTCTTTCTCCCAATTCAGGAAACAGTAGACACCTGCTTTCTTCAGGAAAAAAAAAACTAAAATTTTTCCCCAGCCTCACCACCCCTCCCAGAGAGCTGCTACCATTCACTCCTTTCCCCGTCCCTAGAGACTAGGGCAGAAGGGAGTATTGAAGGAGGGGTATTTAAATAGATAAAACTCCAGCTCCTTGGCATTGACAATATTCATCCACAGTGGAGGCTAGAAGGAACCTAGAACCCTAGGGAGTTTCCACTCTCTTCTCTTGGGACATTAATGCCCTGAAAGATCTTTGTCTTCTTTCTTCTCTTTTTGTGTGTTTGGAACCTACTATCTCTGAGTGATTCTATGCTGGTCTATTTCTCATTTTCTTTCCAAACAGAGGCAATGAAAATTGTGAGGTTCTTGCCTGGTGGTTCTTGCCTTTTTGGTGAGTCACTAACTCTCCACGGAAGCAAGAGAGGGACTTGTGCTCTAGAAGAGACTCTTCAGGTTTCCTCTGCTTGGCTGACCACACACCCTCTCAAGCCACTGCTTTGCAAATTGAGGGAATAAAAGGGAGAGTTTTTGAACATGTATCCACTCATATTTCCTAAAGTACTGGATCCAGAAGACTGAGATAGGATCTATGATCAAGATTCCAAGTATCTTCTGCCTTCACAAACTTTATCAAACATTATTTAATAAGCACTGTCCAGACTTTTTTGCTGTTGTTTGTTTCGATAGTTTTAGGAGGAACAAAAAATTATCATCCTGCCAATTTCCCCTTGAAGTCCTAGTGACACCAGTTTAGGCACATCCCAAGAGGCACACTATCCCTACATGCCTTGCATCCATATAATCTTTACTTTTCAACCATGTTTTTGCTACATTTATTTGTGAGAAGGGGATGCTTGTCCCTGCTTGTTTCTGTAGAAGGGGGAATGTCCATTCCCATTAGGTAAAAGTGTGGGAGAAGGTACTT